TCCTAACGTGTACTTCAAATTCACTTTCCAATCTGTTATTTGCCGTTGTGCCAAGCTTTGCCCGTCGTGACCCGGTGGCTTAGGGGTGGCGGTCACAACTAACATCTCAATGGTCCCGGGTTCGATGCCTGCTATCTCTATCTGATGAGAGGAAATAACCTCGAAACGCGTCATGGAGTGCAGTGGTTTCAGGCGGGCAACACCCAATTTGCTGCTGCTTCATCAGCTACGGTCCTAGTGATCGAATGGCCAAGGTTCACTTCAATGGGAATCGCGGTCTACTTTGAGATTGCGCGTCGCAATCCATCCACACAACGTGTACTTCAAATTCACTTTCCAATCTGTTATTTGCCGTTGTGCCAAGCTTTGCCCGTCGTGACCCGGTGGCTTAGGGGTGGCGGTCACAACTAACATCTCAATGGTCCCGGGTTCGATGCCTGCTATCTCTATCTGATGAGAGGAAATAACCTCGAAACGCGTCATGGAGTGCAGTGGTTTCAGGCGGGCAACACCCAATTTGCTGCTGCTTCATCAGCTACGGTCCTAGTGATCGAATGGCCAAGGTTCACTTCAATGGGAATCGCGGTCTACTTTGAGATTGCGCGTCGCAATCCATCCACACAACGTGTACTTCAAATTCACTTTCCAATCTGTTATTTGCCGTTGTGCCAAGCTTTGCCCGTCGTGACCCGGTGGCTTAGGGGTGGCGGTCACAACTAACATCTCAATGGTCCCGGGTTCGATGCCTGCTATCTCTATCTGATGAGAGGAAATAACCTCGAAACGCGTCATGGAGTGCAGTGGTTTCAGGCGGGCAACACCCAATTTGCTGCTGCTTCATCAGCTACGGTCCTAGTGATCGAATGGCCAAGGTTCACTTCAATGGGAATCGCGGTCTACTTTGAGATTGCGCGTCGCAATCCATCCACACAACGTGTACTTCAAATTCACTTTCCAATCTGTTATTTGCCGTTGTGCCAAGCTTTGCCCGTCGTGACCCGGTGGCTTAGGGGTGGCGGTCACAACTAACATCTCAATGGTCCCGGGTTCGATGCCTGCTATCTCTATCTGATGAGAGGAAATAACCTCGAAACGCGTCATGGAGTGCAGTGGTTTCAGGCGGGCAACACCCAATTTGCTGCTGCTTCATCAGCTACGGTCCTAGTGATCGAATGGCCAAGGTTCACTTCAATGGGAATCGCGGTCTACTTTGAGATTGCGCGTGATATGATGTTGCGTTTTTCTGTAGTTTGCTGTTAAATCTTCAGAAATGGCTGCACTTATCCATGCCTTTTTTAGTACCTTTGTAAACTTCCGGTAGTTTTTCATGTGGATATTTCTTAAATTCGAGTGTTGGCTGATTTCCAAATCACTGCAGCCGGTTCTCGCTCCCCCAGTGTGGTAGTGCACAGCATAACTGTGAAACGCGCCTTGTTTCTTTTCCTACCTGCGCATTTCCATCCTTTTACACGGTCTTTATCGGACGTCGTTTTGAATAGCATAACAGTATCATGTGATTCAAAGCTG